TTAGGTCTCTGCTCATTATTATTTTTACTCCTAAAATATCACTACTATTTTGATCAATAAAAAAATATATCACAACTATGATAATATGTATAATTGACTATGTTTTAGTTGAATTTATGAACTGTTACAATTGACCCCGTAAGTGGGGACAATTGTAACAACTGCACGACTGTCAAAAATTGTTAATAACTAATATAATAACATTTAAAATAAGGTATATATTTATTTTCTAGTAGAGGATAGTCTACTTTATTCGTCTGTCAATTAATACTAATAATATATTGGATCTTTTGTTAGTTAAAAATAGTTAAGTAAAAAATGTTACAATTGACCCCACTCTCCCCTATTTAAAGAAAAATTTGCCCTCAAAAAGGAGCCTAAAAACATTAAAGAATAATGTAGGGGGTAAATAAAAATAAAAAACTAAACTAACTAAAACTAATTATACAGTAATCTAAGTAATAAAAAGGAATAGGTAAAAAAAAAATGCAGTTAGTAGATGTTCCCTCAGGAAAAAAAACCTTCAATTATTTCTCATCTTTATTCATTGAAATGAATGAAAAGGAGATGGAAATTTTGAGCTGATAAAGCTTTGTAATAGTTGACTGCTTTTGGACCCACATGTAATTAGTACCTGTATTAGTGAATTATTCCCAAGTCAAGTTCAAGGATTATGGCACTGATCTATAAATAGAAATGAGTATGAAGGCCATTGGCTAATCAGTGACTAAGACAATAGGACATCACCAACAATAGAATTAACAAGAGAAATAAGCAATTTTCTGCTATTAGGGAAGGGGGAAATTGACAATGCAGTTAGTGGTGTTGTCCTCGTGATCAGTACAAATTCAAATTTTCCAGTTTGATTTCAAAAGGCAGAAAATGTAATCTAAAATTGAGAATCTCTTGCCAAATGCAGGACAGCTGCACATGAAAATGCAAGAATCTTTCCCACCGAATCCAGCTAAGTGTAAGCAAGTGCAGACCTGCACCTATTTAATCAAACATGAAATCAAAAAGCGAAAGTCGAAAATAAGCACTTTTTAAAAACGCATTGAAACCTGTAAAGAGTTTTACATTACCACTAAAGCAGCCCCATTAAAAAGGAAATTTAATAAAAATGTTTAAATATTTTTAACATTATTCTAAATAAATTTCTGTTAAAAATTCTGACTTTCAAAAGCCACAATACGCAGTATAAGCAGGAACACTATATATAAGTTAAGAACACATAAAATTGGTGCATGAATCACATTAATAACTCTTTAAAAAGCATGAAAAGAAAATTGATAAACATCACTACAAACTTACTATCACTTCTTTAAGAATTTATCATCTTAAATCAAACTCATATAGTATCTCCGAAATTTTCTAAAACTTTTTTTTAGGAAAAGACAATGTTTAAAAATCTTAATTTTTTTTAAAAGTTAACTCTTTTTTCAGATTTTTCAAGCTAAATTCAAATTTCCTAAGATATTCAAGTTTTTTCTGAGACATATGAACACTGATAATTATGATTTTTACAATACCAAAAGATATTTGAATGGCTATTTGAAAACAAAATTTAAAAAAAAAAAGGCTCAACTCACCTGATTATTGAATGTGTAGTTACAGCATAGTCTTCCACTGAAAATACTTTACTTTTGGATTGTATTCTAGCATACCTATCCTGTTCAATACGAAACTTAAAAGGTGCACTAGTAGCTTGACCATTCTCAAAAGCTAGAGAAAAAAAAAGAAAAAAAAAACCTTTGAAAATCTAATTAGGTGAAATAATGATTTCTTGTTTAAAAAATTTGCTACAAGAATTTATATTGAATTTTAAAAAAATCCTTCATGATAGAAAAGTGAACAGTAATGAAAATTTTCACAATATTCATTTTTATTTCATTTATTTAGTGAGTGTTAGAAATTTGGAGAAAATAGAATTGCAAAAAAATTTTTTGTACTGACAACTCAATAAATTTTTAAGAATGAAACATGATTTATATGTTGGGAACTTAATAATGATATAATCAAATTTAATTCAAGAAAGCTCAAACAAGCAGATATAGAATGGTTAAATTTTAAAACATTCTTTTTAATCAAATAACATGCATTTTCTCCCATGAATACAACAACAATAGTTATGAGTCTATTGGCAAGTAACAAAAGCAACGGAGATATTTTTTTTCGACCCTACTAATCTGTACCAGTAATAATTTGAAATAAAGAAATTAATATATCTGAATAAAGAAACAAATATGACAAAACTTAATAGCTTGTAAAAGAAAAGCTCTGCTTCAACAATCAGGGTGCGTAGTCAAATCTTTCAACAAAAAATAAGCACCTTTAAAGTACTTTTTAAGCACTGTATACGTTAACAAAATGCAAAATAGTTTTCAAAGACTTTACATGATAATGATAAAATAACTAGTTTCTGACAAAGAACTCTTTCCTTGATTATAATTGCTACCATAAAAAGCAGGGTTGGGTTTTTGACGTCAAAAAGTGGTTTTTGACATGACAAGGGTATAATACTGGTTTAAACCGTCAAAAACTGAAGTTTGCCAAGAAAATATATAAACTTCAAAACTACCAACAGTTGCCATGCATTATATTGAAATTTAATTATACTATAGGCAATCAGCAGGTTTTAAAATATTTTTTAATTAAAATTAAGGTAAAATAACAGATTTAAAATCTACAAAATTTATATTCAAATGCATGTGCAGAAAAATTTTGCACAAAAATTTTTTAAACATTTATATTTTGAAGAAAAAAAATTTTTTTGTTGATACTTTAGAAAATTAAAAGTTTATTACTATGCATTTTTGACATATAAGGAACATATAACTAATATTTTTAAGGAACTTACAAGTTATGTTGTATAAATACAAACTTGATACAAGTGTATAAAATTTTTTTTATGTTATACGGAATATCTTTATTATCCAGTATGTTAATTTGAATTTAAAAGTAGTTATATTTGTGAATAATGATAAATATAATTCATATTGTTTATTATATTTATTTATAATTATTACACTTATCATTTTAAAACAATTTTTACCTCTTAATTTTTTTCCCCCACTTGTATTAAGAATACAAATAATGCATATCTTGAAAGCAAGAAGTAATTATTCAACAGCTGAATATTTAGATATTCAACAAAACTATGTATATAGTATTCAGCAAAATGAAATTCACAAGTATTTGGATAAACTAAATTTTCAGCATAGTAAATGAATAGGCTGAATATACTGTAAATCGACACTAACTACTCTGTGTATTTAACAGAAAGCACTTAAATTTGTATTGTCTTATGTTAAAAAGATTATTAAGAAGATTTAAAAGAATATTAAAAAGATTTTTCTTTAAAAGATGTCTAATGTACAAAACTGCTAATGTTTATCTTTAAAAATGTCTAATTTTTAGTATAATCTATACTATACACTAAATTTGGTTATAAATAAATTTCTTAATAATATCACTGCAGATTTTCAATAACACATGAAAATGAATACATAATATTACAAAAGATGTGAGCTTTCAAAAGTACAAGATTTTGGTTACTATTCAAAATATAAGTGTTTCTTCAAAATTTTAAATTTATTTTTTCTAGAACATATTTAGAAACACTATCCTTTATAAAAAATATATAAATTTTATGTATTAATTAAATTTCACATATGAATATAGGTTTTTGACATTTTTGACAGTGAGGTTTTTGATGTGACAGTTTAAACCATGGTTTAAACCGTCAAAAACTGTCACAAGTCAAAAACCTGCCAACCCTGATAAAAAGATTTTTCAGTTTGATTTCAGGAGGTGGAACGTTGTGAAAACGTTGAATAGAACAATGTGAAAACCTCGCTTTTGCATAATACATTGAGAAAATCTACAGGGTAAAGAAAAAAATCTCACTTTCTAAAAGGGAAAATGAAACAATTTTACCTTTAACGGCTTTTAAAAAACGAAAGTCAAAAATAGGTACCTTTAAGAACTTTTTATAAACGCTATGACAAACTATTGCTCTACAAATTCATATCCAATAGCATGATTGTAGCAATGCTGTTAACATTGAAAACAAGTTGTCTTTACATCTAAGACAAGCAAGTGATGGAAGGAATTCACACCGCTACTGAGGATTGGCACAACGGCAGCTCACTGTGCCATTACAGCAAATAGTAACATAGTATGAAAATAAATATTTTAAATATCGATTTTAAACAAAAAGAGGACTGGGTATAAAATTGGATTAAATATGAAACAAATATTCTTAACCTAAACTGAATTAAAACATTTATTGTTTATTTTCCATAAATTAAAAACATAGAAAAATATTAAACTTACTTTCTTTCAGATGCTGCTTAAAAGTAGCAATATCACTTGGATGGCATAAATCAAGCATTGACAAAGTTTTTAATTCTTTACGCAAAAATTGGCTGCTTGACTGAGTCAGATTACTAAAAAATAAAATAAAACAAAATTTAGTTAAACAAAAAATATTTTAACAACAATCTGTCAGAAAATTTAAAATCTCAGTTTAATTTCATAGTAACAATTTAAACAAACCCTAATTAAATAAAATTATCAATCATACTATCATTAAAGCTACTGTCAAATGTTTAATATAACATAGCCAAATATGCCTAAACAATTAACATAATGCAAAAATTTAAAATTTTTAAATTTAATACACAAAACTTTAAATCATAATCTTGATAAAAATTGTTCAAAGGTATTTTATGTATAGGTTGATATTCCCCCCTCGAGTTTCAATTTTTGACTTGCTTTAATGCACAAAACAATTTTTCAAAAATATATCCTATCCACTTGCAATCAATGCAACTTATGACAGGTCGGTGTATTGTCATTGAAAGGTAAATTATATGGTATGATAAAGTATTCACACATTCTTTAGTTGTTATTGTTATTAGTATAAAATTAATATAAGTTACAAATGTTTTGTTCACCCATAATAATTATTTATAGTCATTTCTTATTTTCTGCTATTATTATGATTTTGATTATTATAAATTAAAGGCTTATTAGCAAAAGCAGTATTTGTGACATAAAACGCTAATTGATGTCTAAACTAACAAGCCATTTACTCCAAATAAACAATTTAACGAAATATAAATGGTGAATAAATTATTTCTGTTTTTATCGTAGGGAAAAAAAAGTTTTTAAAAAATGTTTCTTTAATAGTAACCTAAATTTAAATAAGATTTTTAAAACACAAACTTGATGATGAATTTACAAGGATAATCAAGTAAAATGTTTAGAATCTGGAACTAAATATGTGTTAATAAAATAAAAAATGTTAGCATCCCAATGAATGTCTTATAATTAGGATGTAAGAATCTATTCATCATCAAGAAATAAAAATGATTACAGCAACCGAGGTGGCTGATGAGTGATAAAATTAAAACTATTATAAAAAAGTGTATAAGTGATTGTATTCATATAAATATAAAGAGTTAAACATTTAAAACTGTAGGATTGCAGCTTTTTGTTATATAACTTATTCCCTACATCTAACAAAGTATCAAATCACAACATTTATATCCGAATTCTTCCTCACCCAAAATCATTATATAATATTCATTGTAACTAAATAATTATGATACTAAAAGAAAACAAATATTTTTAATTCTAAATAGAAAAAAATTCTTTGAAAAAAATGCGCTAAAAAGCAGCAGAAATTTCAGAAAAAAGTAGCAATAAAGAAAAAGAATATGAAGGAAATAAAGATGAAAATATGACCACCGAAGCCGACGTCTTCAGGGGATACCGGCCCGGTAGCTATAAAAACAAAACCATTTCTGGTTCATCAATACAAGTCTGAGGGAGAAGTAAATGCTTAAATTAACTCCCTCAGTACCCCGATGGTTTTGTATAGAAGTCCAGGAAAAAAAACCTGCAATATGAATAACAAATTAAGAAAAGAAACTCAAACAAAATCATCCGAAAAATAAAAACTCACTTAGTCACAGGTCAAACATCAATTTCACCAGCAAGCCGAATGAAAAGAAAACACTAAAAACTAAAGAAAACAATGCCCTCTATTACATTGCGCAGATGGAGAATAAAAATTTTTTTCCTGGACTTCTATACAAAACCATCGGGGTACTGAGGGAGTTAATTTAAGCATTTGCTTCTCCCTCAATTAGAAATGGTTTTGTTTTTATGGCTACCGGGCCGGTACCCCCTGAAGACGTGGGCTTCGGTGGTCATATTTTAATTTTTATTTCCTTCATTTTCTTTTTCTTTATTTATAAATAATTACGAGTGCAAATTACGAAGGTATATAATATAACATAGTCAAAAATCACACAGAATTAATTAGGGGTCATAGAAATTGTCTTGGAAAACTAAGTCAGCACTTCTTAACAGCAAAGAAAAACAATTTATAACATGACACCCAAAAGTCAGGAAATTTTCAATATAAATAAAATTACTTTAATCTGCTACATAAAAAGTAGTAGTTTATTTTCTGCTTAACAACATTCTCATAAAATAAACATATGATAATTTCTTTCCTTGTTATATCTATTCTCTCAACAGTTGACAGACCATGCAGCAACTGGGCCACCACTTTAATTATTATTAAAAATAATTATTATTAAAAAACACTTTTTAAAAACTTTTCAAGCACTTTACAAAAATTTTCAAGCACTCAAAAAATTCATATTCAATCAATGATATTATTGAAAAACAAAAACTTTTTATAAACAGTTTTAGCGTTAAAAAAAACCCAAAAAGAAACGGGCGTAAATCGAAACAATCAGTACTTTCCCACATCACCGAGTGAATTCAACTTGACCCTGAACTCAGAATAAAAGTACCCTTACCCCCTACGTCAAAAAAAGTGTTAGAAGTAAAATAAAATAAACAAGAACAAAAATAAATTAAATTAAAAAGAAAAACATTTCATAAGGATCTGATATTCTCTATCCGAATTGGAGCACTCGGGTTTCGGTTTCAAGTGTGCGCATGCGCAAGTCATAACATGGGTACGACATGAAGTCTGCGTCAATGATTACGTAGCAAACGAAATCCCCCAAAAAGCACCTTTAAGTACTTTTTACAAACGCTACGCACCCTGAAAATGTTTCAAGTACCTTTTTGTGTAAACTTTTTGATAGAGAGATTTTTTTTTTTTTAAATAGTAGAATAAAAATTTAATCTACATGTAGTTGTTTTAATTTTGTAAACACATATTTTCGAAGAATGATGTTAGAACTTTTATACTTTAAACAAGGTGCGTAGCCCAATTATTCAACATAAAATAAGCTCTTTTCAAGCACTCAAAAAATATTTTCAAGTACTATAAAATATAATTAGGCAGGGTTGGAAAGTTTTTGAGAATTGACGGTTTTTTCTTGTTATCACCATCATGTCAAAAAAAGAAAAACCTTTTGGCATTATTTTTGAATCATTGTTTTGAAATTTTGAATCATGCAAAACGAATGGCGTTTTCATACGCTGCGGACTGACAATAAACTGAAGTAGATTGGGGTTGAATTAATTGTGAAAACGTTGAACTGTGTTGTTTTTGCATAATTCGAAGCTAAAATTAACATGGTAAAGGGAAAATCTTATATTGAAAAAGGGAAAATTGAGCACTTTTTAAAAACACCCAATGAAAAAAGCACTTTTTAAAAATGCTATGTACGCTGTTTAAATTAGTAGGGGTGGTTAAATTAATTCTAAATCAGAAGTAAGTCAACATGACAAGTATGTTATTTATCAACAACATGACAAGGTATGCATTATTTAAACAAAATCAAAAAAATTTTTTTTTCAATCGTAACATCTTACCTTGTGTCTATGTCAATAACTTTGCCTTCTCTGTCATTCCTAGTAGTAAACTGCTCTACACTATTCATACCTATTCTTTTCTCCTCAAAAGGCACACGGCGAGCAATACAAGTCAAACCATTTCGTGGCTCTACAATGTATAAAATTGATACATGTAATCTAACTTTTAAACAAGTGAATTTAGAATACATATCTATGTATAAAAAGCATTTTTACCACTATTTCCATCTTCTAAGGGTATGAAGTTGGCAGTTATGTTTAGATTTTCATATTGCGAACTTGGTGGAGATTTATTTTCCATTTTAAGATCAGTATCTTCGTCTTGTTTAACAAGAAAACGACAGGTGAAATGTTTAGTTGGCTTATTGGAAATAAAATTTTCAGATGACCAATCACGCCCATTACCTGAAAAAATTTTAAAATATCTGTCAAGACATAAAATATAGATAATGTTATAAGAAAATTAATACTTCTTTAAATTTGAATAATTTTACTTCATTTCTCAAATTAAGACTTTTGAAACCAGTATTATTATAAAAACAAGTAAAGAAATTAGAGAAGGAAAAATTTAAAACAAGATATAAATAAGTTTTGACTGACTTTTTCTAGTTTAGATGCTATTTCATTAAAATTAATCAATAAAAGGAGAGACTTCTGGAAAATTAATTATAGAAATTGATAAGTTTGGTTTATTTGCTAATAAAAGTAAGGAAAATGAGAATTATTTTTACAATAGGGTTTATGGCACTGTTAAACATTAAATTATTTTATTCATTATGATCCCAAAGGATTATCATTTTAAAATTTGGCAAACATAGCAATATAATATATACATAAAATTAAAGAAATTAGCGATTTTATAAAAATGTATTATATACAAAACAAAATGACAGACAGTTTAGCTTTCTAGGTCAAATAGTTGCTGTTGACCTAGAAATACAACTGTTTAAAAAACTTGACAACTGTTTAAAAAACTTGAGAATTTTCAAAAATTTATTATAACTAGAAATTAATAGTTAGAAAAATATTAAACCTAATATTACATAATTTGTATTTGATAAAGTAGGTTTAAGAAACATCATACCAAAAATCATAGAAATCTAAATTGACCTAAAAAATGGTTGGTTTGATGTGAAATTACCCCATGACCAATAATTTAACTACAGTAGAGCGCCGATTATCCGAACCCTTATTATCCGAACGTCCAATTATCCAAACCATGTCCGAATTCGTTTTTTTTTTAGAGTTTAGAATACTTTTTAACTTATTGATAATTTTTCTAAATTTAGAAGAATAAATAATATCTACTACATCTGAAGATCATATTTAATTTGCAACCTTTTTCAGCAGTTTTCTTAAAGTAGCATGCATGCATGTATTATTATACAGTTAAACCCCCATACCCCTTCAACTGAAAATTATCTTTCAAGAATGTGAGCTTCATTTTGACAGTCAACAATGGTTGGAATGTGGAAGGAGTTTATGAATAGATAAGTGCTGAAGTTCTACAATTGGGGGATGGGTAGTTGTCACTTATGGTTAATGATTAGTGATTGCAGTGCGCTTCTCACAGCTGGTTACTTTTCGAGGAAATTAACAGAATTCGGTTTCATCATGTAAACTAGAAAATGACCAGTAGAATGACCATGTTTTTATGACGTTACTTCTGAAATGCACTATTGGACAACAGGTTTTCTGTTGTCAAGATTACAATCAGTTGAAAAGTAGAGTTACCTGAGAAAAGTGCTTTTCATAAGAATCTAGAAAGATGTCGTGCAAACGTAAGAGAATCGTTCTTTCCTGAAGTGATAAAACGAATATTTTAAAAAGATTGAAAAATGGAGAAAGTGGAAGTAAATTAGCGGCAGAATATGCCGTAGGAAAATCGACAGTATCAGAATTGAAAAAAAAATGAAGAATCAGTTATGAATTATGTTTCAGTAATGGACAAAAACAATGGAAATTTGGATCGAAAATGCATGCAAAAGTCAAGCAACGATGAAGCGGACAAAGCACTTTATTTGTGGTTCCTACAAAAAAGATCTTTAGGTCAACCAATATCTGGCCACCTATTATGCGAGAAGGCTTTATTTTTTCATGAGAAATTTGGCAGAAAAGGTACTTTTCAGGCTAGTTCGGGATGGTTAAGGAACTTTAAACATCGACATGGAATACGCGAGTTAGAAATTCATGGCGAAAAACTTTCCGCATCTACCGAATCCGCTTCAAATTTTGTAAAGGAATTAGAAAGCATTATTAAAGGTGAAGGATATGAAGAAGAATTTATTTATAATGCAGATGAAAGTGGACTGAATTGGAAATCTCTACCACGAAGAACTTTGGCTACAGGAGATGAAAAGCATGTTTCCGGGAACAAAATAATTAAAGAAAGAGTCACAATTAACGTGCAAATGCAACTGGAAATCATCGAATACCTTTAATGATGATTGGAAAATCCAAAAATCCAAGAGCCTTCAAAAATGTTAAAACACTACCTGTCATTTATGCATCTCAAAACAAAGCGTGGATGAACACCAGCATTTTTATTGAGTGGTATGATAAGACTTTCATTCCAAATGTGAAGAAATATCAAAAGAATTTGGGAAAAACAGGAAAAGTGTTACTCATCTTGGACAATGCTCCGTCGCATCCAAATCCAGATCTCTTAGATCGGGAGAATGGAATGTTTCGTGTTGTTTTCCTGCCACCCAATGTGACACCTTTGATTCAGCCGATGGATCAAAGTGTCATTGAAACCTTAAAACGTCTTTATAGAAAGCAACTTTTAAGGAAGATTTTACTCTCGGATGAACAAAATGAGGGGGATTTTCGAAACTCAATCAAAGCTATTGATTTAAAAGATTGCTGCATGATGATAGCTGATGCCTGGAATTTAGTAAAAACAGCGACGCTTAGAAAATCTTGGAATAAGATTCTTAACAGAAAAACAAACGAAACTGAAGTTTCTGAGCCAGTAGAATTTCCGAATGAAAAGATGCCAGGTTATACAGCAGAAGAAATCAAAGACTGATGTCAAGAAACTGAAAATGACCCAGGATTTCAAATTTTAAATGATGATGAAATTGGTACTGAAATTTTGAATGAAAATCGGAACTCCGCCGACGAAGAGGAAGAAGTAGGTGACCAAGTTCAAGATTGTGGACCTTCTCATATAGAAGCATGCAATGCATTAGATATTGCAATGAATTGGCTAGAACGTCAAAATGATGTTGATCCAGTTCAGTTGATTTATTTAAAAAGAATAAGGGATATGGCTGCTCAAAAAATAGTATCTTCCTTGAAACAAAAGTCTTTGCTGGATTTCTTTGGCAATGGAAAATAAAGATAAATGTAGTAAGATCAGTAATTGACAAAAAACTTATAAAAAGCTAAAATATGACCCAAAAAAATTTAAAATGAAAAAAACTTTTTAAAAAATTTAAAAATCAAAAAAAACAAAAAAACTTTTAAACACGCCAGAGCTATTTTAGATAGTACTGCCAGTCCTAAGCCTGGAAAAAGTGTGAAGGGAAGTTGGCGCATAAATAATAATCATTTAAACTAGATTTTGAACAACTTTCCAATTATCCGAACTTTTCATTATCCGAACCACGTTCGGTCCAATGACATGCAGTTCGGATAATCGGCGCTCTACTGTATATAGCAGTTATGATTTTGCAAGAAAGAAAAAGCTTAGCATTGTTGTTTAAAAAAAAGGTTGTAATGTTTTAAAATTTAAATCGCTCTGTTGAAATTGGTGTGTTACTAATATTTAATGCCATACAATGGAATTGAAATTACTAAAAAAACTCGTCTGAAAATCACTAGCTCAATAAAATTAAGACAAAATATATGAAAAATCTTCAACTTCTAAAAATCTATGAAACTATTAAAGACACTTTTAATATTGATTTATAACTTTTTTTTCGAAAAAATAATCATTTTATGGCATTAAGAATAATTGATTCTAACAAAAACTGATGAAAAAATTATACAAAAAAATATATATATGTTTGTTATCAACGAAATAAAAATTACATTTATTACCTAATGGCATCATAAGCAAAAGATTACTATGGAATCTTGCTCGATCATCCGGATGAATGTAATCGTATACTATTTTTTCATTAACTTCTTCCTAAAATTTAATGAATACAAGTCTATTTCATTAAATTTAATTTCAGTGTAATAATTTCATAACAATTGTAACATAAAAAGAAAAAACATTAACTGAATCACACAGCATGTCTTTAAAAACAATACTACCAGTTCAAACTTGAAATAAACCAGCATTTTTTGAAAAAGGCCTGCTCATTTTCATTGAAAGAATTAATTACAAGATAAGCCTAACTTATAACAATCACATTATTTTCCTCTCATGTTTGCTGTTTTAGGCCTGGCTAAAATCTGTCAACCTGATTAGACATGTTTTGACTGATTCACTCATTGGTAAGTGCCTAAACTATTCAAGCTAGAAACATAAAATTTGGACTAACTGGTTCTTTTTATGACATTGCCATCAACTGAGGAAGTATTTTTATAATATTCCACCCCTAAGGGCATAAAATAGGTGGTGAAAGGTTGTAATCTATAACAATAAATTGAAGAGTTTGTGTTTCTCTTCTATAACTATAAAAAAAAAAAAAAAAACTTTGGTGCGAGATACCTGAAATTTTAATAGTGAGTAAAAGAGGCCCTTGATCCCAAAAGTCATTAAAACATTTCAAATAGACCATTCAGGAGAAACATTTGAAAAATGGAATTTTTTTGATTGATTTAGTATTAGCCACTGATTTAAATTAAATTATAGACAGTTCTATTCTACTAACCACAGAAACTGAAAATGCATGAGACTTTTTGTGACCATGGCAAAAATTATTAAGTAAATAAATAATTAAAAAAATAACTGTCTTTACATTTAATTTATGTAAATCAGTCGTGTGATTGCTGGATGAAGAAATTATCGATTTTTTTCCTTCATATTCTACATTTTTTAGTACTTAATTATTTTTCTTTTTGTACATAGATGATAAATAAAAGTAACAATTATAAAATTTAAAAAGAGAAAGAAACAAAATTTTATCTAATAATTTTTTTTCAACACATGAAATAACATATTTCTCTTTCCCTATATTTTGTGAATGAATCATGTGCATTTACGAAAAGATCACACCAATCGGATGCATCAAAAAGGGGGTTAGTTAAATGCATGTTTCAAGATTCACGCGTTGCAATAAATAATGTTGTAGTATTAAAAATAAAGAATTTAAAAAATTTGCAAAAATCAGTAATAACTGAAGAAAAATTTATTGGAAAAACAATAAAATTGTTGTGCTAAATAGTGAATACTATGGTACACAATTTAAATTTCCTATTTTGCAAAAATATCAGAATTCTAAAACAGTCACGTGAAAATCAGCAGCAATAACTGCCAAAATAAAAATAAACAGAAACAATCGAAACATTGCATGCAAGTGATACTCATATACACAATTGAAAGTTTGTGTGTCGTATTAATATTGGAATTTTAAAAATCATGAGAAAATCATTTGTATGAACTGCAAAAGAAGAAAAAATCAAAACATGGATCTATGATGGTATCGAGCGCATTGAAAAATGATTACTGAAATGTGGGATTTGAAATTTCCATTTCATAATATCAGTTTAAGAATTAATTCAATGAAATAATCATGTAATAAAAGAGAGCAAATATATCGCATTAATTAAATTATTTTTGTTTGCAAATTGGAACTTTCAACAAAATTGCTATCTATTAAAATAAAAGTTTAAAAAATAGGAAATCAAAACACCATTTTTTCGATTGAACGACCTTTTAAAATGTTTCTTATTTCCGAATTCCTTCTCAGATTATTAATTTTATACTTTTCTGTCAGCCTCAGTAGTTCTCTTGCTCTTATAGTTTTTTGAAGTTACGTTTTTCTCGAACAAATCTGCATAATAAAAGTTGTTATAGTGTGTGAATGAGAATTTAGGAAAGAAAAAAAAAAGAGGGTACTGTTAAAGACCGAATAAATGTTTCGATAACAAGATTTTGCCTAAGTAACGAATAAATTTTAGATTAACGGATTAGCAGAATTTTTTTTTGCAGAATTCCGTACATTAGCAGAAGAATGACATGCCTGATAAAGTTTTTTAACCCCCTAAAAATTTTAAGATTCTGAAAAAAATTTCACTTTTTAACAAATGCAGGGTTGCCACAGAACAAAAATGAACAAAATAGTTGCTTTTAGTAGCCTAGAGCATGAAAATAGTTGCCGAAAGCTGTGAAAATAGTTGCCTAAATAAGAACAAAAATAAGACAAAAATTTTATTAAATGACTTAATTGTCATATACCATGATCCATTTCGTCAAGTTGGTGGCAAATATGATAATTTTTATATAAACGTTAGTGTTCTAGCTCTAAATTTTTATATAAAAAAATTAGTATCTTTGCAGAAAATTAAATACTTTTAATTACTAGAATTCATTCAAAAAATACTTTTTCATTGAAAAAAACACACTTATTCTAAGAAATTTTCCCTTTTACCAATAATTGATTGTGAAAAGGGATTACTCAAATTCAAAATTCATGCATCGTAATATCATATTAAAAATTGGGTTTTTTTATAAATCGTGCAGAATTTCGTAGCAAAAACCGTTGAAAAGGTGATCGAGAAACGAAACAGACTTACGACAAAATCTGTTCAAATTGAGCGCATTAAAAAGTTATGACTCAAATTTGAAATCTAAAACTTCTCATTTTTTACTTATTTATTTAATTTTTTTAAATTTTATTATTTTTATTTTACATTTTTTTATTTTTCAAGAAAAGAAATTCAGCGTGTTCAGAAGATTTTGCGGGCTGCAGGTTTTCTACCCAATTTATGCTAAAAAAAATTGCTAGAAGTACAGAAAAGTCTCCTAATAGTCTCCTTTTCCTGAAAATAGTTGCTTTTTTAGCCTTTTTAGGCAAAAAAGTTGCCACAGTCGCCTCATGCTGAAAATAGTTGCAAATAGTTGCATTTTAGTCGCCTGTGGCAACCCTGCAAATGAAGTGTCTGATTTAGCTTCTTTTTTTTTTAATTTCAATAATTTGATATTTTGTTTCAATTTTTCTTTCTTGTTCGTCTTACCAGTCAATAAATTAAATTTCCTAAAGTTTGTTTTGACAAGGTAGAATTAAGCCTGTATTTTTGTTATGAGGGTGAATATTTCCTCACAGGCGGCAATGGTATGAGAAATGGTTAATGCAACTAGCATTAACTCACAGTAGGTACAGGGGCTGTCTAGGTTTTTCTGAAAGGTACCTATTTTGTGAAAATTTAGACATAATTTGTGAAAAATTAAAAATTACATTAAAAAATCAATACAAAAACATGGTAAAAATATAGATTTATCGTTTCTTAAGGGATACAAAAATAAAATTAAAAGTATTTTGTGAAACTACCGTTTTTCCTAAAATTGAATTTGTGAAACTACCGTTTTACCTAAAATTGAATTTGTAAAAGTACAGCTAAACGGTAGTAAATTCGGCCTGGACAGACCACTGAGGTATTAATTTTCCTGATACTGACTTACACCGTACCGCATTGATGAAATTAAAAAAAGAATAAAAAATTGTGTTCTGAAATGTTTCTTCACTGTAAAGCATATAACTGATTTCTAAAATATTAGGAAAGTTTATTTATATACACTGGATCGTCAAACATTTCAAAATGCTAAATAAAAAAAAAAGTTTAAAAGGTTTATGATAATTTAATTAATAACACTGAATCCTGATTTGGGAGAAAGTTTTGAGGACCATATGCAAGGGGCAACCTATTCAAATTTATTATTATTTAAATTTTATTAATAGGGTACAATAAAGCATACATAATTTCATTTTTTTAATATAAAGTTTTAGTTTTGCACATGGTTTAAGTGTTATTTTCTACTGATTTATTAATAATTCAATTTTTTTCTTCAAATAAACAAAATTTCAACTAGAATCTAAATTTAGTTCAACTAGTTTCTAGAACTAGTTTCTTTTTCTTTAAATAATTAGTTTTATACAGAATGTGAGTTATGATGAAAGGTTTAAAGAACAAATTAGAATTACTTACTGCGCTAAAATTCAAAAAAGAAGAAATATTCTCAGACACAAATTCTAATTTTCCGTCAGAATTGACCACAAATATGAATCCGTCAATAGCCTAAACATGTGGGGGAGAAATCCATTAAATAAAAGAATTACAGGGAAAACTATGTATCACAAAGATTTTATTAAAAGCAATTTACTTCAAGAAGAATGGCGCCAAAAACTTGATTATTTATGATATTTGGCTTGCTAGAAGAAACTTCACTCTGTTGAAGATCATCACAAAGTTCAGTATCACCTAAAAAGAAATTTATTGGTTTTGAATGTTTTATTAATTACAACAGATTAGTACACATTAAGAAAATTTATGCAAATATGGCTGTTAACACCTAAATAAAATGTTTAAAAAGAACTATCTCGCATAACACACAGGGTTATTTCAATTTAGAAATAATATTTCCAGTATTTCGCAGATATAGTAAAACCTCGCTACATCACTATTTTGGGGACCCAATAAATATAGTGTTGTAGAAGGATATATTGTTATATCGAGGGCCTACATACTTTGGGGACACAATAAGACCTTTTTTTTTTTAAATTTTATGTATGTATTAACTATAAATGTATTTATATATTATGCAAAAAATCAATTTGCAGAGTGTTAATTACGGTTAAATATTAAAAACAACTGATATAAATTCAGAAAATAAGATCGTAAACGGAACCTCAAAACCATTTTTATTGAAAATAATCTGATATTTTTGTCTGTTTATGCATTTTTTTGACTGTCTAGTTCAACCCACAAAGTATACATGGAGTCCGAAGCATGAAAATGATTTTCGTTTGTAAATGGTGCTCCATCCACCCTCTACAAAAATAATTATCTTTCAGGCATTAATGTGATGCTTGTGGTCATTTGTGATTGAGATAAGGGAGGTAATTCTAAGAATGGAAGCTCTTGAGGTGGTCAGCAGTGAGTCTTTTCTGGTCAGAAAAGATGGAAAAAAATCGCAAAAGATGATAAAAATAAGATTTTCTTACATTATTTGAAAACCAATAATAAATGAAGAAAATAAGGTTGAAATTTGGAGGGAAAAAATCGTTTTACAGGGACTGATTGCTTCAGAGAATATCGTAATAGTGAGAGGAGAATGACATTCATTCATATGCAAGTTCGTCGAAGCACGAAACATTATTGCAATAAAGGGAGTTAATGTTGTATTGGATATCGTAGTAGCGAGAGTTCACTGTATTTCAGAAAAATTTCAACATTATTTCAGGCCATATTTTATCTACACACTATAATTTTTCACAAGAAAAACACGTTTTATTTGATATGCTAAAGACTCAATTTTGTGAATATCTACATCATATCAATTTTGTGAATATCTACACACTATAATTTTTCACAAGAAAAACACGTTTTATTTGATATGCTAAAGACTCAATTTTGTGAATAATTAACAACCACTTATGACAATATATAGGAAATTCTAATGAAATGTGGAATTTTTACAAGAAATAACTCTCATAAATTTAAAAATTATTTAACTAAAATCTCAAAAACTGATTACTGTAACTAACTAATTTAAGATTGGCCATTTTCCAAATATACCACAGGATTTTCCCAGGTTTCAGATAAAAAAAACTTATTGCCAAAATCAAATACTCTAATGATATTAAGTTTTCTCCAAGTTATTAGAACTTTGCCAGACAGCAATATTAAGGTATTTCTCTATTATTAATCTGTTAAAGGAATATGACATTAACGTGATATCTATATCGACTTTTATATTAAGTATAAAATAAAATTATCAGTAAGAACAAATTTTTAATTAAATAACTTTTAAATCAAGCTTCATACATGAGCCAAAGTAAAAAAACAGAAAGTATTTTTAAAAAAAATCAGTAAATATTTTGGAGCAATATACTTAGTCTGAAAAAAAAAAACCATACAATTTAGTTTTTAACTGGCAGCTAGTTTGGTTGTGCATAACGACTTGTGCATAACGAGACCTAATTTTTTTTCTCTCTTCCATTTCCCCCGGAAAAGTTGCCAAGTAAATCCGCAATCACAAGTTCTTCACAATACAAAAAACAAGTTTCCTCTATAAAAATTACAATGAAAAGCTATAGTCAGACTTTTTTTTACTAAACCAAAACAAGTTTTAACAATAAAAGAAAACTGCAATGACAACAGATTTTCACCATAAATGGAACAAGGTTTCTTCGTGAAAGTTGCAAACTAAATCTATACTCGCACCAGATACGCAGAGACTTTTATTGTCAGCAGAATTTGTATCAACCAGTCACCTCATTGAGATATGAGCTCTTTATTCCCTAAGCCACCCCGGTTCTAACGTTTAATGATGAAGATAAGCCTGAAACTGTTTTTACAATCTTAAAGGTGTTAGACATCGAAATTATATTTAGGTGTAAAAATGTTTGAAAACATTGGCCCATCCTTACAAAAATGTCTGGGGACGCGTGTGGTACACACAAAAGGTTATAAATAATGAAACACTAAACTAAATGTTTTAAGTAAGAACATTTAAATTTGTAATGATGGGATTGATTTTAAGGAATTTGTCCTACATCTTTTCAAAAAAAAAATTAGGTTGCCAGTCCAATTTGATAACCGAGAAGAATAAGGTGAGTGATAATTTTACTACAATATAATATCTATTTCTCAATAAAGTCAAAGTCTTATTCATAAGATTCTCAAAAACAATAAAATTACTAAAAAGTAAAAACGAGTAAAGAAAATAGCAAAATGGTCTGAGTAAAAACAAAGTTAATCATAACTGCATGGTAGAAATCAGAATTTGAACTGATATCATCCATTAATGATTAGGGTAAAAAAAAGTGAAAAACCCCTTTTATGAACGAAACAGCTTTAAACCATCAAGTAAACAGAGAAAAACCAAGAAAAAAAGTAGTTAATTATAAAAAGGCAAACACCTAACTAAAAAGTATACTTTGCTCTAATTTAGAGTAATGTGCAAATTTTACTACAATAGAATAAAATAAAAATAGAATACCACAATAAATAGTTCCACAATTACTTTACTATTTCTAGAAAGCTTTAACAGGCTTCAGAATAATTTTATCAGTATTGTACAACTGATAATTATTTCAAATCAATACATGGGAAAGTTTCGTAGCACTGTTATATTAAAAATCAGTATCAATTAGCTAATATTCTTTCTTACCAATATGCAATTAAAATTTATAATTGTGATCTAGATACCAATAATTAATATTTTTAGATATTAGATTTTCAAATAATTTTAGAGTAGGGTTTCAATAATCTCAAAACAAAGCACAAGCAATATGCCGCTTAATATTTTTGAACAAATGTAATTTTAGAGGATGATTCCTTAATTCTTCATCTAAAAACTCCATGGTATTATTGTATCGTTAATTGGAATCTATTATATTTAAAATTATACAGGGTTGCCACAGTAAAAAATGAACAAAAATAGTTGCTTTTAGTAGCCTTAAGCATGAAAATAGTTGCCTAAAACTATAAAAATAGTTGCCTGAACAGGAGCAAAAATTTATCAAAAATAGTAGCCAAATAATTAAAATTGTATCTTAATTGTCAAATACTATGATAAGGACTGTTCGATGTCAGAATTTTTAAATCGTGATACATCGTCCGTTAGACATCGCGATTTAGCATATGTTCAGAAATTACCTATGGGAAATCAACCAAAAATAAATAAAAAGGAATAAATCTATTACAAAAGAAAATATTAATTCTAAATATATTCTACTATAATATCAACATCATTGTTTAATTTTTTCAATTAAAATAATAAAGTCAAAGTAAAAGCAAACCCAAGATTTATTTCATTTTTCTTAAATAAAAAATGATTTAAGATTTATTGGTTTAAAAATAATACTGTAACAAAATATTTTACATACGTGCATTAAAATTAAAAGAAAAAAAAAACAAAAGTAGAAAACAAACCAAAGAAATGTTCACTTTAGAAAAAAAATTTTTTTTAAATTATTTGTTGGAAAAAAAAACCATGCTTTTGAAACATCATTAGAACCTCTTTTATTCAATTATTTAAAATAATATAAAGAAGTATTAACTAATGGTCAAATTCTGTACTGAATAAATGTAAAAATATTTTTACTTTATTATTATTTTCGTTTTTGAAAATAAAAGATTTATTTCTTTAAAAATGACACTGACTATCTAACAAATTATATAACAAACAAGTATTGAAAGAATTTTAATAAAATTTTTTAAAAAAATACTTCAAGTACCAATGTTAAATAGCGTCTAAACATTACTAAACTCCTTATTAAATTTTTTTTTTAAATTTTGTTTTTTAACTAATAGCCAAATTTTTTTAAAACTTTGTTTTCAGTTTCTCAAAAATAAAAGCAAATTAAATAAAGGTAAGTTTTATTTTAATTTTTTTATAAATAAAAACAACTGAACATTTATTGGTTTAAAAATAATCAAATTATTATACTTACCTACATTAAATAAATTTGAAAAAAACTAACTTTTTATAACAAAATTAAGTACAAAATACCCCTAATAAATTGTATCGCTTAAAATGAAAAATAATAATTGAAAAAAACCAATGAAGAAACTTTTTTAATTTATATTTTCTTTTCATTGTTCTATTGAGTTCAGAACGAAAATTTAAGATAACAGCGATTGTGCAGCAATCGCAAAGTAACAGTAGGTCTACGAAAAATAAGTATAAGTATAAAAATAACTTCGCTAAGAGTAAAAAAGTCTCTCAATAGTCGCCTATTCCTGAAAATAGTTGTTTTTTTTTAGCCTTTTCAGGCAAAAAAAGTCGCCTAAGGCCGAAAATAGTAGCAAATAGTCGCATTTTAGTAGCCTGTGGCAACCCTGAATTATATGAAAGAGATAGATCAATAATTCATAAACTGCAAAACTCTTTGATCTTATAATTGTTGAAAGTAATAAGTAGGCACATAGATCTTGAAATCATTATAAACATTATATAATTTAAAATTGTTCATACTTTCCTTTTCATAGAATTACTTAATTCCAAAAGAATTTGAAATACTGAGTCTTTCTGGTAAGGCTAAGCCTGAACCTTGTAGACAGTTCTTAAAATTGGATCAAAAATATAAATTCTAAGAATATGAACTTTTCCAATAGTGTACAAAAATAAGAGCTAAAAATAAGGATATTTATTTTTTATCACGAAAATCAGGGCAACTACAAACTTTGCTTTTTACATTTAAAAAGAAAAAAAAACCCTCACCTACTTCATTATTGGATTTCCTTAAAAATTTTATACATGGGCCAAGTGGGAGTTATAAAAACAAGCTGTTGTTTTGCACTCTTTTTTGCTTTCACATTTTAACTTTTTTCTTAAATATTTCTATGAGCAGTGCTCGGAACATTAGACTTTGGATGTAGATAATGAATAAGCTAACTCAGGCTGTGTAGCGAAATCTTTGAACAAAAAATAAGAACCTTTTAAGTACTTTTTAAGCACTCAAAAAAAAAAAAAAAAATTCAAGCACTGTATACATTGATAAAATACAAAATAATTTTCAAAGACTTTAGATGATCATTAGAAAATAACAAGTTTCTGACACAGAGTTCTTTTCTTAATTATATTAGCCATTATAAAATGATCGAGAAATTTTTCGGTTCAATATCAGAGGGTGGAAAATGAGTCTGAAATTGAGTATACAGTGGGTGATCGGTTAACGAACTGATCGGTTAACGAACAAATCGGTTAACGAACACTTTCACGAAAGATTTTTGTGTTCGGATAACGAACACATATTCGGATAACGAACAATTTCAAGAAAGATTTTTTGTGTTAGGACAACGAAAACATATTCGGTTAATGAACAAAACGAATTCTAACGAACACTTCTCTTCCTGAAAAAAAATTTATATTAAACATTTGTGATCATTTTGCATACAAAATAAGATCACTGAAAGGAGAAATGTTTAAAGAAGATGAACTAACGACAGAAGAACTCCAAGAAATTTTGAATGAAGAACACCAAGAAACACAGCGAAATGTGTCTCCTACTCTTGATGTACTAATGATGAAAGAGGACCAATGCCGACATCTGCCATTAAAGATATTATGAAAAAGTGGGAGGATGTCAGAGCAATGGTCTTAGAATGGCACCCAAACCAAGCTGATGTCAGTAGGTTTGGGGATCTTTACAACGACAATGCTATTAGTTACTTCCGGAAAATCCTGAAAAAGAGAGAAAAGCAATCGACATTGGATCGCCCCATAAGCATAAAATGAAAAGGATTGATTAATATGCAAGACTATATGTATGTATAATTTTTTAAAAAACTTATTAAGAAATTATACATTTTTTAAAANAAAATAATTTTCAAAGACTTTAGATGATCATTAGAAAATAACAAGTTTCTGACACAGAGTTCTTTTCTTAATTATATTAGCCATTATAAAATGATCGAGAAATTTTTCGGTTCGATATCAGAGGGTGGAAAATGAGTCTGAAATTGAGTATATTTTGCAAAATGCAGCAGAGTTGCACAGGAGAAGGCAATAATCTCACCGAACCTAGCTCAGTAGACGCACAGGCGGACTCGGAAGTATTTCATCAAACATGTAAAATGATTGGCACTTTCATACGCTATGGATCGACAGTAAGCCGAAATAGATTGGGGTTAAATGAATTGTGAAAACATTGAAAACTCGCTTTTGCATAATTCATGGCGAAAATCAACATGGTAAAGAAAAAAATTCTCATTTTTGAAAAGGGAAAATTACGCACTTTTTAAAAACACCCAATGAAAATAAGCACCTTTAAGCACTTTTTCAAAATGTTACGCACCATGTAACTTTGTTTTTTAAGTTCTTGTTCATTATCAAATTCAGTAATATTATGGTCTTATCAAATACACTTTATTTTTTTTCCTTGGCATTTTTTAATTGCCTTTCTGCTACATCTTGACGATTTTTGTCAACATTTGAGAAATTTAATCAGTTTTTCTAATTAAATATTTACCTTCCTATCAGGGAAAGTAAATATTTACATAAGCTATTATTAAGCTGGAACTGTCACTTGTAGGTAAATATTAAAATCTTAATATATATTTCACTTATTCATTTATATAAAGATGAACTTCTGACCAGACCCCCAACAGGGGTCATCCCAGGAAACTTATTTACATAAATTTCTTTTTTAAACTTACAAAAATTGAAATTACTAACCTAATTCTTTTTGAGAGCGAATTTGATTAACAGTTTCTTTTAATATGGCACACTTGTCTGGTTTACAAGAAAGCGAACTCATGTCAGATGGGCTAGCAGAAACAAGTTCTGCCAGTTCTTCAATGTGAATATTTTCTTGTTCTCTACGGCGTTTTTCATTAAGGCACTTATTTCTGAAAATAAAACAAATCTACATTCATTAAGCAAACTTTAAAAACACTACAGAAAACAAAATAATCAAATTTGCGGTAAAAATTATCAAATATGAGCACAAGGATAACGAAAAGATTAAAAATTCAAAATCTATGGTATATATCATGGCTGTCCAACTGGTGGCCTGCGGGCCGCATCTGGCCCGCCAGCACATATTGTGCGACCCGCCATTTTCTTATTCAGGCTGATCACCCTAAGTTTTCCCATTAAAATATAAGCAAATTGTTTTATAATCCTTCTGTTCCATTGTTTTATAATTAATAATTCAACTATTAATTGTTATTGTATAAGAGGTAAGAGGTTATTGTTCAACTTTTTCAAACTGCGGCCCGCCAGGTGATCAGTGACCGGAATTCTGGCCCGTGGGCTCTTTGCAGTTGGACAGCCCTGGTATATATACTAAAAAATTGACATCTCTAATTAAGTAACTCTTCGAAAATTTATTTTAAACTATGTCATTTTATTTTTGATAGGAAGTTTTTAAAGTTTAAAAGTTAATTATGCCTAAAGTCAAAATTCTCATTGTGTTTTTCAGTTTTTCGTATGCTACAGCTTAGTCACCAATGCCGCTAAAATCTGGTGATTTTTATGGTGCATAGATCAGTGTGGAAATTTTGCCTTTTGCTTGTTTGTCATTATGCCTCTTCTTTCTTTCATGTTATTTTTTTTATATCATTAAATTGCTCTTTTTTTGTGGTGCAGTGGTGTTCTGTAACCTCAGCAATTGAAAGAAAAAATCAATATTTCCTTATCTCTAGAACGTGATTATAAAATGTTGCTTTAATACTGCAGATTGTGATACAATTTATTATTATTGTAACACTTTACCATTCTTGTCAATATTTCATTATAAATGTTACAAGATGTTCATGTTTTATTGGTTATCTATCAATAACTGATTTTGAATATAAATACTTAAAAAAAAAAAATGTGAAAAAACAGAAGATTGGGCAAGTCCTATATAACTAAGACAATGAAACACACTCAAAATTCGGATAGCAGTATGTTAAGAATTTAAAAATTTAATCGACTTTAACGCCAGAGAGTTACAAATCCTCTTTCCATTCTCTCTTTATGTAAATAAATAAATTAATATTCAATAAAGTGTTTTTAAAACAAAGTAAAAAGTTTTATTGAAAATATAAAATATTGTCTAGCAGAGTGCCAACAGTACTTTTTATTGTAATTTTATCATGTAAATGAAATTGATAAGAAATTTTCATTGGGAATTAGTGAATTAGATTCATTTAATTTTGAACCTGATCAAATGAGAATGTTTTTAAGATTCAGACAATGATAAATAAATTATATTATTTGTTATGATTTGAATCTGTGATATAGTTTTACTTTGTGATAATAAATATAAAAAAAAAGAGTTATTACTAAGGAATTACATGGAAATCATAGAATTACATGGAAACAATGAATTTGATTGTTTCAAAGTCTGAAAAACTTTGAAACAGTCAAAAGCTTGTTTGGAACTTACAAGTTCTTAGTGAGCTCAACTAGTTCCGTGTAACTAAACTTGACAATCTAATGTGCTAAGTTCACACAGTAATGGAAGCTTTATTTTAATAATACAATAAATAGTTTCAACCACTAAGCTATAATACAAATAGAGAAAGCCTAGAGTTATATTTCCAGGGGTCTGTTTAGGTTTTAATGAGAGGTACCTATTTTGTGAAAATAAAGACATAATTTGTGAAAATTAAAAATTACATTAAAAAATCAACAGAAAAATATGGCAAAGTAGGAAGACATTTTCAAAAATTGTCACGACACATAAAATTCATTTATGACTAGTAAATTTTCATAAATTTTTCCCCATATATTTAAAAGTAATTTTGCTATTGTAAAATTTTGGGCTTAAAATTGTATCTAAATTTAAAAATCCATAAAAATCGATGTCCATTGTTAAATTCCAACTTTAATTTTTTTTAAAAAAGACATGCATTTAACAGTATTTTCTAAACTAAAAGTTATTTTCATTGTGAGAACATTTCCCACATTGTCATATAGAAAAAAGTTTCACAGAGAAATAAATGCTTCATAAAAAAATAAAGGTCTGTTAGAATACATTTAGAACAATGTTTGAATGTTTAGAATAATTTCAACTTCCTGTAAAGTTTACAGAGGGAGCGCCTCATCATTGTTTATTTTTCATTTTTAAATCTGCGAGAAAAAAGCTTACTATAATATGACGTAAGCGATCCGTTAGGCTACCACACTATACAATCTGACCAAGTACATGCTACCTATTTGTATATGCTTAATTAACTCGGGATTTATCGGTTCTTACGGGGATACAAAAACAAAATTTTAAGAGACGGGATAGAGAATCTTAGAACTTACTTTTTTAAAAGCATTTTGTGAAACTACTGTTTTTCCTAAAGTTGAATTTGTGAAGGTACCACTAAACAGTAGTAAATTTACCATAGACAGACCCCTGAATTCATAATCTTTCTTTATCCCAAACATCAGAGTTCCTACAGTCAAATGCTCCCTCTCATTAAAAGATTTTGACGGAGAAAGAAGGGTGTTGTGTTTTGTGCAACAATTGAGGTAGATATTTTTTTTCGAAGATTTTGCCACAGATAAATTAATAGTTATTAGAAATATAAAGAATGGAGATTTTAACCAATTTAAATTTTTTCCCCGTTTTGGCGAATTTTTCACATTTTTACCACTTATTTTTGGCCTTATTTTTTTCACTTATTGCCATAGTCCTGGCAAAACATGATCTATGATAGCTAAAATCTAAAACATGACAGAATTAATCAACTCTCAACAATACTTACACAATTTCAATAAGAAATTTAAAATAACTTAATATATTTTTGCAAAGTAATTTAAAATTATAATTATCAGTTATAAGGACAATAAAAATGAGAATTCCAAATAAAAGATAGGATATAGATTTGCTCATTTTGTTTTAAAAAATTGTTTTCATTGAAAAATATATTTGAGAGATTTAAAACTAAGACTTCCAATTTACGAATAATTTTAATTTAAGCATGTTTAAAAACTATAAGCTTAAAGCTGACAAATTATAGTCCTGTTGAAAACTGTATTGTTCAAATTTCAAATTATGAAAAAGATTGAGTTTAATTTTTGTTAATCTTATAAAAAAACTAAAAGAAAAAAATAATAATATGAATTTAACTTACATTTGTGAATAGGGGTTTGAATCAGATTTGAATTTAACTTACATTTGTGAATAGGGCTTTGAATCAGATTTCTTTCGTTTCTTTGTACCTACATGAGAGGCAACACTCATCGTAAATACTCATCCAAAATGTGAAGAGAGAGTGACCCTAAAATAAAATATATATATTATTAAATATAAGTAATTAATTTGAATATTTATGACATTGAAACTAAGACTTTAGTACACCATTAATTCATTAAAAATTTATGTTATTAATACATCCAAGACAAAAATGCAAGTGATAAACAAGTTCATTAAGATAAGCATATTTAGCTGAGAAATATCCTTAAGACATGCATATTTAGATGTGACTATCCTTAACTAATAGAAAATATGCAAATTTAAAATGACATGAAACTATATTACCTCATAAAATTTTTTAAAAGCAATAAAAATTATTCTAAAAAAATTAATAGCACATTGTGAACATTCTACAATACTTTAGGTAAAATTGTTAAAATTATGAAATTCAAAAATTTAATATTGACCTTCACTTTTCCTACATGCTGGTCACTGACCCAAATTCCAAGGTCAACAGTGACCACTTCAAGTTTCAAACACAGTTGGATGCTTTAATTAGCAATTAATAGTAAAAACAGAAAAAATATCTCGCATGAGAGGGAAAAAAAGGGTTAGAACAAGAATTTTCTTACCTTAAAACAAACCGGACCGAATGACCTAGTTTCGATGGGTCGTAAAAGTTTAGGCCTAGTCTGTAATGGCACCCCCCATAAATAAATAATAAATTACGAGAATCTCATATTTAAACTTTATTATTATATTTCTTACACATAATAATGAAGAAATTTGCAAGCTAATGCATTAATTCTGGATACATTTCAAAATAAGGAAAATAATTGTTTACTAACCATCTGTTTAAATTTGTGTTTTCAGACATTTTATTGACACCTTATTATTCTGAGAAGGGTATTGTAAAATAATAAAATTCAGTATTGTTTAAAAGTTAAAAAGCGTCGTGGTCAATGTCAAGTTCTCGGTCATTACGATTAAGTTCAATACGAAGTATGCATAACCTATATTCCGTCTCCGGACAGACAACTTTCTGTTGTGCCGCTGTTGTTAAAATATTTGATCAGAACAACATTGATTTATATTTTCTAGACAAAGAAGTCAAAGCGATAAAATATAATGTTGGTAAACAAATCAGTTTAATAACAATCCTACGTACCTCTTGAAAGTGGCATAATTAATGTCCACAACATCTGTCCCTCCATTTTGTTTCGTCAACAAAAGTCACTTTTGCCAAGATGGAGAATCACAACGTCTGAGAAGTTGAGGAGAGAGTAGTCGATAAGCTGGCTAGGAAAACTTCCCGGTGTAAAACCTGGCGTTAGAGGCGATACTGTTTCGGAATGATAGTTTCGTTTTGTCGTCTTTTGTTTACGTATTACGTTTTTTTTCTTTTTTTTTCTTCCTTTTTTAATTTTTTTTATTTATCTTCTTTCCCTTTTATGATTCTGGTGCATTTTATAAAAGTATACTATTTAACACTACAAATTTTAGGGTTCTGAATAAACATTTAAAAATAAACACAAACAGATAATTTGAAATCAAACAAAAAGAAAAGCGTTAAAAATTAAGCTTTAACGAAAATTATTTACACAGAATTACATATCAATATTTATATAAAATATTTAGATGAAAAAGATTACAGACAAAAATATGTATAATATTATGCAAGTTAAATTTATTTATTATTATTTTACTCATTAGTCGATATTTATTCCTTTATTTAAATTGAGAATAATGACGCGCAATCGATATCAGGGTAAATAAATAATAGTGTTTAATTTTTCTCATAAATTTTTATAGCGTATATTCAAATTAGAACGAAAATCTGCTTTGAAGCAAATACAACAATAGAGAAAAAATGAGATAAAATGTATATACTACTTTTTTATAAGAAAGATTAGAATTATATGTTTTTTTTTTTCTTACTGAAAAATTTAAGTTGACATTTATTTTATGCGTTATTTAACCCTTTACTTAAAAATATTTACGCGTTTAATCATACTTAGGTAAACATATAATGCATCAGTACTGTTTAATATTTTCTTCCATTGGACTAATTAAATTTGATTAAATTTTCTTTAAGAAAGGAACTGCTTTAAAAAAAAGTGCAATATATTTTATCAATATTTAGTAATAAAAAATTAGGGAATAGGTTGTCTAAGTCTTATTTACTAAAAAAATGTCAAAAAATTTAATTTTTCTAAAATTTGTAAAAAATATAATTTTTATGAACAATTTAAACAAACTGACCAAGAAAGAAACTTTTACACTTAACTATAACAAGATTCTAAAAACTTCCAAAGGCTATTTTTAAATATTCTTATTTAACCTTTGCAAGACAATTAAATTTAATAAAATATTTTAGTAAAGAAAAACCATAAGAATTGAGGCCATGTACTTCCTGAATGAAGTGATCTGCTTTATCTTTACTTTTTTCAACATTTAAAGTGGTTTATTAAAACTCGTATAATTTAAGAGATAAAAACAATGTCAATTTTAGTGGCTTGTATTGTTGTCAAAAACAAGTAAGACTGTTTTATTCCCACTGTCTTTCAAAGGGTTAATATAATAGCTTGTGTATCACTAATGTAGATTAGATTACAAATCAGATTTTTGACAAATTTTTTTAGCACAATAGCAACATATTGAACAAAAATGAGCTAATTTTCAGGATATCAAACTATAAAAAATTAAAGATTCTACATTCTACAAAAACTACATTTTTCGAAAAAAATATTTATTTCAAAAAAGGTTAGTTAGATAACTAATAATGCGACGCATTTATCAAGTATAAGGAAGCCACCCAAACTAAAGATAATTTGGATTTTTATTATTACGGACGGTAATTATAGAAAACACTGTATGCAATTTGTTTCTTCCGTTTGGTTCAAGTTTTAATGCTACGCCTAAGCTCCTTTCTACGAAGTAGGTAGACGAAAAAGCTAAAATGTGCATTACTACTTCTCTTCAGAAAAGAGGATAAGAATTCTTCACTTTAAATCAATGAAATCTTTGCAAGTAAAATATCAAAAGCTAAGGGTATACTGCCATGTTTCAAATCAATCAACTAGTCCTGAAACCTATGAGCAATTAAAATACATCTAAAGAAAATGGTCCCTAAGTTGAGTATCTGAAAATTATATTTATTTTTTATGTTTTTCTTAGCTTGCTTGAGACGTGAGCAAACAAACCATTAATTTTCTAACTAGACCTGAAAATTTAATCTATCAGTTAGTAGCCAGCTGACTCTAAAAACTTAGTAGCCATTTTTTCCTTAAACCTAATGAGACAGTGACCAATACCGATAGGGATTATTCATTTAATAGCCACTTTTTGTTTCCTTTTTTTGTGCTTAGATTAAGTTTTATATATATATATATATATATATATATATATAATTCANNNGGTAGATCACTATGCGCTGTGCATTTATCCATAAAGAGTATCAGTTTTCTTTTCTTAGCGAAGAATTTCCGATCCAATTTTCTTACATAGTCTTCAAATAATACTGATGTTATCCAAAACTTTTTGTTAGACTTGTAATCCAAAGGATACGTTTTTACATTCTTGAAACATCGGGGATTTCGATATTTTGCGATAGCAAGTAAGGGCAATTTCTCTGTCCCAGGCGTATTTCCTCCAACTAGGAGAGTCAAACGTTCCTTGCTCATTTTACCCCCTGAGCAGTTTTCATCCTTAAACATCTTATTTGGATTATTTGGAAGACATTTAAAAAATGAACCCATTTCATCAATATTGAAAACATCATTTTAACTGTATCCTTGAAGTAAATTTGGTAACGTTTCATTTAACCACTGTTCACATACTTCAAGAGGGACAGCTTTAGCTTCTCAATGAAGAGTGCGAAAGACAATATTGTGTGTGTGTTGCAAAGGAAGGGGCAAGATATCAGCTCCTAGGCTTTTTTTCTTGCTTTAAAAGATCCAAAACAAATCTAGTTAAAGGGAGTAAAATTCGAGTAATCGAGAATAATTAACATGAAATTGAAGATAAAAGGGTCGGGACCTCATAAAAAAAAATCGAGTTATAGTAATATTCGAGTTATCGTACTTCGAGTTATAGCGAATTGACTGTATATATATATTAAATATTAGAAATAATCAACTGCTATAAAAAGTTAATTCAACAATAAAAATAATATAAATATATGACAAAATTTAGTTCAACACACTAACTTGACTTCACTGTGCAAGAAAATTTGAAGCAAAAAAGAAAAAAAAAAAATTTTTTTTTATTGGTTTATTTAAGTTACCACTTTTTTTGTTGAACGCCAAGTGGCGAGTGGTCATTTTCGGACTATCTCTGAGTGACACTTTTCCTTGTCTAGTGCACAATCTCTCATAGACTTTGATATTAACAGAATTGGCATCAACTCATAAACTAGTTTTAATAATTATCTTTAAAAACACTGACACTCTACTATTTCTGCAAAAGCAACCCAAAGTTGTCTGCAATCAATTTAATATTATAACTTATTTTATAATAAATGTCTTGTAGATGTATTATCAAAAATCTTTTATTTCCAATACAATTTGACTTAAATGCCCCGTTTTATCAATGAATTTATTTTATGTTCATATTTATTTCATGAAAAATTATTTTGCATTAAATTAATCAACTTTCAAAAAAAAAAAAAAAAAAAAAAAAAAAAAAAAAAAAAAAAAAAAAAAAAAAAAAANAAAAAAAAAAAAAAAAAAAGCTTTCTCGTTTTACACATAGGAAAAAAAAACTTTTCTGCAAGAAAGCTCAAGTTTGGAGTTCTGTCTCAGCCTTTGCCAGACATAGTTCAAAACCCGCTTTAACAGATCAGAATTTCAAAAAAAATAGTAATTTTATAAAAATAGCGACATTAATTTGGTACTTATTGTTCAATTTGAATAGATTAAAAAACTGCCAAACATAAAACAATCTTTATAATTGGGTACTTGCATTTCAAGAAGAAGATCACTGATACCCACACATGTGACCTAACATCAGTGCCAGCTGATCGTTTATAAGAAAAATGGCGTTTTAACGATCTATTTTTCGATATTGCCCTTGATTTGCATTTAGTTTTTTCAAAATTCCGGTACATTTTACATACGATGTTATTACGACACGCGAAATTCAAATAGCGCATTTGGCATTTGAGTCGCTCGTATTCGAATAGCGTATTGAATACGCACCGGTTTCATGATAAATTTATTTGATGATTCGTTGGTTATTTTTCGGCTCTTATTGCAATTTATTTTCAAATATGTTTCTTGCATTCTGGTATTTTTATTCATTTATATATTATGTACATATTATATTTATTTATTATTACGACATGCGAGAAATTCGAATAGCACATTTGAGTCTCCACTTTTTGATGCGACGGTTTGGTCATTTTTTCGATCGATTTTTCGGCAGTTATTGCTAATAATTTCCGCAAGGTTTTTAAAATCCCGATATTTTTGATATGATATAATTTATTACAGTCTCGACATCTACATTTAAGTAATCACTTTTTGACGAGTCTGTTTCACATGATTACGTCGAACGTCTAGTTCTAACGTCGATCGCTTTCTCCAGTTATTCTCATATTGCCTCATATTTCACAATTTTTAAAATCCCGGTGCTTTCTTTAAATAAATTAAATTAAAATTTATCGATATTATGTTATATGTTGATAACGATTCCGATTACCTGCTATACCGCGTCAAATATGCCGAAACTCGTCAGGGAGACGTGTAATTTTCCATCGCGAAAAATAGAAGCCAGCAGATTTATGTTTATGCATTTTTAAACTTTTCCATGAAAAAAATATTGCAGTTAAAAAAAAAATTCAGAAGAAATTTCAACTATATATATATACACAGGGTTATTCATAATTCCCTCCGGGGCTTCGAAGCGTTATAGTAAAAAAACGAAGACGAATATGGCAAAAAAGAACAAATGAAATTATTCGGAAAGTATTCAAGTTTTAATTTAAGCAGTTGCCGGTAGGTGGCAGTAACATGCACCACTGAAGCCAGTTGTAGTAAAGAAAAATGGCGTTTACAGGCGGAGAAAATTATATATATATTGCGGATATAATCGTGTGGGTTGATGAAAAGATTATATATTTTTTTTATAAAATTT